ACGACGTTGCATCTATCCGTTTAATAATGGCGCTTCTAGCATATACAACACGTCCCACATTCATTGTTCTGTGGTAATGGGGCGTTCAACTTTAGTTGACCCAATTGTGAAAAAAACTCGCGGCGTCGGCGGAAGTCGAACCCGCATGGCAGGGAGAGGCTTTTGCGCAGCCAACGCTCTACCCATTGAGCTAGACGGCGCACCGTGTGCCGTGAATTTAATCACACCTGGATCAATTTTATCCGCCCAACTTACCGCTCGTAAGAAATCCATCATTACGGAACAGCAAGCTGACGGCGTGCGTCGTAGCTCAATCGGTTGAGCGTTGGCTGCGCAAAAGCCTCCCCTTGCTGTGCGGGTTCAACTCCTGCCGACGCCGCGAGCTTTTTCACAATTGGGTCAACTAAATTAAGCAAATCTGCCAAAACCCCCTAACAGTGGAGCGTTCACCGATCGTGTGACGAAAAAATCCCGGGTATGTCCCTTGACGCGATCAGCGAGCGCTCCATTACCATTACTGTTAGTATAGCCGATCGCAGCCGACAGGACAACAAGCTCGTGGCTCAATAGTCAGGTCGCAGGGAGTTTGCAACGCATAGCCCGCTGATGACTACCAGCGCTCCAGATATGGCTATTCCAACCTCCCTTGTTTTTGTCAATATTGGTATTCTGTTTATGAACTCGATATTACCAAATGCGACGATCATGTTCCGTAAGCAGATTGGTGAGCGCCCCACTATTCATCATATTCCCGATCGCAACCGACAAAAACAACGAGCCCGCGATGATATAAATAGTGAATTGTCCGACACCACGTTGTAGGGGGGACAATTGGCGGTGTCGCCAAAGATCTAACCACTCCAACACCGTGTGATGGCTGGTGGAATCACGACACATTCGTAGAACAGCAATTGTTCCGAGGAAATACACATGGTGGAATGTGCGTCCTCCATGCGTGTAACATCCGAGGAACAATCTCACCTACATCGCCAATGTTGTAACGGTGACTTCAGTGATGTCACCGTCGAGCTACACCCTTTGGAATCCCCAAGGAAGAAAGCAACAAGTAGGGCGTAACTTTGGAATCCACCCGGACGAGAGTTTATTGTGTACAAAACCGGGAGTTGCTGTATCGGGTGGCTATTGCCGCTGGTTGATCTCCAGCGCGCTGAATGTCCCCTCTTCGGTGCTAGTCCAGCAGTCGGGAGCTGACTGACGGTGTCCTCACAGTCCGTGTGCAACTCACTGTCTGAGATGTGACAGTCGCTTATAACTGATCGTCAAGCGCGTTCGCTTGTGGCCTGATTGGGCGCACCAACTGCTATGGCGAACCTAAGTAGCCTCTGAGAAACTGTGACCAGTTGGCACGTGCGTAGGCTGGCGTGCGTGTGTGTCCAGTTTAAGGTCATCGCTTGGGCACAGCCCAGAGAAGGCATATGACCTTGGAAGCAGTCCGCTGTGGGCAAACGGATCATTATAGCAGTCGGCGGTAGACACGACGCCTGAGGTGAGCCTGCAATCTTGCTAGCATTTGGTCAGGCTAGACTCCTAAAATTACGCTCCATGCCAAATATCGCGGGTTCGGATCTCGGGTGTTGCCACCACTGGGGTTGGGTATGACTGAGAAGAAGAAGAAAAAGAAGAAGAAGAAGAAGAAGAAGAAGAAGAAGA